AAGACTGAAGTTAAAGTATTGTAGGGTATTTAAGTATGCCGCCTTAACACTGGAAAAGATATGACTGAATTTCAAAACGGGATAAATTCTCAGTCGTTGATAGAAAGTGAGTATTTCAATGCAAATGTGATGATAAAGACGCGCATTTTGCATGCCATTCAAGTGTCTCCTGGTGAAAATAGTTCGGGAGTTCTCTCAACAGGAGCTTAATGTGCTACCCACCATTTGACCGCTTCAACACTGATCTCGACACACTGGTGATAACAGCGACTATAACTAGACACATATGTGACAATCGTACTCTGCTCCATGCTGCTATGATTAGGTTTGGCTACAGATCCGCACTAGACGGTAATATTGAATGTTCAGCTTGGTGAATGTGACGAAAAAGGATCCTTTTTCATCCGGCCTTCTTTGTATATCGCTTACAGAGCATCGACAATAAACTGCATTTCATCTCCTACTTCATGTGTCATAGATCTTTCAGGGAGCAAAAATATTTGTCTGAAAAAAATAACTGCACGTACTGTAAGCGTACTGTAAAAAAATAATGTGTAAATTATAATGTACATACATAGCAAACTTGCCAGATCACGTCCCAAAGTGCCACGCCTCAAAATTCCAGATTCCAGAGACTTAGTTCGGCCAAATGTTGAAAACGCGTCCAGAATTTCTGCCTGTCAATCGTGGAGATGTACAATTCTGTTGCGTAGTTTATGCCGAAAATCATTGATACCGAATACGCATTTCTTCCACGGAGTTCCTAGAAATGGAGACAAACTTACCTATTTTTGTAGTAAGCGGTTCAGGCTCGAAAGTTTCTCACTGGAAGCTCCTCGCCAACAAGAGACCGTGAATTGTTATAATACATGGAAAATGCAGAAATAGTTGTTTCAGTTACACTGCCCGCGAAGAACTACTCAGTTTTAGAGAGTTGAGACTCATCTCAAACAATTTGTCTAACAGAAAAAGCAAAAACTGAAGATAAGTAATGGTGCTCAATTCTAAAAGATGATTTTTTTTAATTCAATTATTTCCAAATTGGACTAGGATGTATTCATACTATCTCCTAAGACTATTACGTTCGGAACTGTTCAAAATACTCGTTACCTTGGTCATTATCCAAATTAAGAGTTAAATTTTAAGAGTTTGCAAAATTGACAAATAATCGCGCGCACACTTGTAAGGGATTTGAGCTGATATTAGGCCATGTAGGCAGCGAAAGAGGCAACTACAAATGGTAGACAAGAGATCTTAGCAGGGATCTAAACATGCTCAGTTCGGAGTGTCTCCAGTCAAACAAAGGTAAGACTTGATATGATCACGGGCCAGCTTTGAGAGAAAACGTCTTCACTACCTGGCAAGGAAAATGTAANCCGGTTATACAACTTACATTCGGCGATTTGTCGCAGGTTTGGAAAGAGGTTTGCAAAGGAGACGATGCTGAAATTTCTACTTGTGCTGTTTGCAGCCTTGGCTTTGATTGAGGCCACACCAACTCGGAGACACGTAAGTCATTTCCTTGGGCTCAGTTCTTTATTGGCCATTTCCTTGGCAATGTAATCTGTTCACTTCCTTAAAACTAACAGGCCAGCTCGCGTAATCATTTGTTGATTTATATTTTCTTTCATTTAGTAACATTTTAGTAACATTTATTACGAGCAACATGAAAACTAAAATGACAACGAACAAGATGAATTATGCACTTTGCAGTTGATCTAAATGTTACGTAACTCAGTGAAGAAATGGTAAAGACTTTTGCCACAGATACCAATATCTATAACGAAAACCACGCTTTTTTTTTGTTTTTTTTTTTTTTGTTAACATTTTGTGTCGCTCTCCCGGAGAGAAGTCACGTTTTTATCTCTTTTTTTGTTATTCTCTCTCTCTCTTTTGTACTATTTTGGCCTCTGAACTTCATTCTCCGTTCTTGGTGGTTCTGCTGCTCTTTATCAGAAGTCTCATTCGATGCTCAGACCAGTTTGCTTGTAGACCTTTGTTCCCGGCATGTTGTTCAAGTTCCGCTCACGTGCGTTTTTAGTCGATCACGTTTTCCCACCGTGACCTGGCGCTGTTAATCCAAAGATTTGGAATTCCAGTAATACCATACCATACTGATGATAGAAAGGCTGACTGTACCGTTTGAATTCAGCCTAGTTTCCAGGCTTCCTCTTCCAGATTGCTCGATTTAGCACATGACATCACTGAATGACATGTGCAACCCGTTTCCAGGCCCTTATTTGTTCTCCATGCACGCCCCGATTCGTAGAGAACACCTAGGGAACCTATTACAACGAGCAGAAGAGAGCTCACAAACAATAATGAATTGATTTCATGTTTAAATCTTAGTGCGCCAAGATCCGTGGCCGACGATGCAGTGAGGACAATGAATGCGCATGCGTGAACCGTCACAATTCTACGCTAATCTGCAATTACGACAACATCTGCGAGAGAAGGACTTTTGTCGATGACATAAGAAGAAAGCAACCAGTAAGTGACAAGTAACAATGCTGTCCTGTTGATTAATATAGTTGTGTCGCGGGAAAGGGTAGGGTTTTTTTTAGATTTTCGATCCCTAAATGGGGTATCATTTTTGCCCTGTTGGCATTGTGTTCCTGGTGTGATCCTTAGATAGGGTACCTAAATTGGATCAGCTAAAATTGCAGTGGAAAGTCCCAGCTAAATTAAACGAAAAACAAATGATCTGTTAACACTTAACCATTCGTTAACTTCCAATGTTACAGAAACCAGGAGCCATAATCGGGGACGGAGACCGTAAGTCTCGGGATTCGCGCGCACCTATGATATGGGACAATTTTTCTATTTTTAGAACAAATTGCGC